CTTACTTCTAGAGGTTGGCAGCTCCAGCAGCCATATTAGCTCACAATAAGACAGCTTCCATGTATTGAGGCGACAGGTACATCAATTATTACATGTTAAGTAGTTTTTGGAGGGCATATTTAAACAATATAAGATGAGTATTTCTAAATCTTGAACAATTTTAGTTCTTTTCCCATAAGTACTACCATCAAATTCAGAAAGCAAAGTCTGAGCACCAGCTCTGGGGGGATGGGGGTTGGGGAAAAACCACCAAAAAAGGGAAAGGGGAAGGGAGGGAGAAGACCAAAAAACCCGCAATATTTAATCCACAAAATATGTTTGGCCACAAAAAAAGAAAATCTTCCTAATTCTACTCTGGACAGATACCTCGAAGTTTGATCTAAATACCTCCCTCAAATGGGTGGAAGAATTCTCTAATCCCCATTACTGAAGGGTTTAAATCTTGCACTTAAGGCAATTCTAGAGAAAAGGAAGGATGAATTATACGGTATGAAAAGCTGAACAATGTCTGCAATTGTAAAGAAGGTTAATACCTGGGATGTATAAACTGGGTATGGCCTGCAAGACAAATGAAGCAATCTTTCTACTCTACATAGCATTAGTATCTCAGCTGGGGTTCTTTGTCACCACCCTTCAGGAAAGGTGTGGGGTAAACCTAGGTGAGATACACAAGAACTCTTACATGTCCAAAAACATGGACTATAAGCAAAACTTAAAAGGACTTATTTAAAGCAGAAAAGAGTGAAAAACATAACATTATTCAAATACATAGCGGGTAAGTAAGACAATGATCTCCTTCAGCAAATCTGTAGGGAACACAGTAAGAAACTGCACGCATGCATGATTCGCAGCAAGAAAGATTTCTTCTAGGTATTTGAAGGGAAAGATGACTGTCTTACAATAAAGATACCAAAGCATTACAATAGATTGCCTGAAAAGTCTGTGAAATTTCAGAAGTCTTTAAGAACAGTTTAGACTGACATCTGTCAAGGATACCGAGAGCTTCTCTTGCTTTGCACTAGCAAAGCTTTTCCAGTCTTATCTTTTAAACTTCAAGAAAGACAGCTGTACCTTGATTTCCTTGATCAAAATATTTTTAAAAGAAGAACTATCATATAAGCTACCAGAGTCTCACAAGTTTAATCAGTGCCATGCAATCAGATAAAACGCAGACATGGACTTTTTAATAATATAAATTTAGAGAGTAGTTAATTCAAGTTAAGGAATCCAAAACCTGGAGGAACAGTATCTGCACAAATTACAGGCTGCAATTCAAAATAACTGTTTTACTAAAAATCAGCGTTAAGTGAGGTTACCTCTTCTACATTAGAAGCAGTTTTGGCAGATGTCTCCATAAAGATAAGTCCATGTTCTCGTGCAAACGCTTCACCTTCTTCCTTCTTGACTTCTCGTCTAGATTCTAAATCACTGACATGGAAAACAAACAAACAAGAAACCCAAGTTACCTGTACAGTTCAACCCACCCATGTAAGTATCACTCTTCAGAGACATGCTTATAAGTCAACAGCCCCCCCAATCAGGTCTTATGTACATATTCATATCTATTAAAGTCTTTACATAAAGCAAAATTACTAGAAACTTTGCAGTTACAGTATATACACTATATATAAAGCCACAGCATCTCACTTGTGTGAGCCATCAACCCCAGCCAACATGGATCTTACCACAGACTTCAGTGAAATAGCTTTCAACTGGATGCAGGTATGTTTATCTAGTTCTCCCTTCAATACTAACTTTAGAAAATGTCATTTTAGATAACATTATACTAGAAAGGAGTGATAGTTACCTAGTTATCCACACTGCAAAAGCTGAACTGATAACAGAGTTTTTTTATAAAAGATTTCTTAGTGATACTAAAAATAAAACTAGTTTATTTTTTCCCGCTCACTAACAAGACCTCATACAGTTGGATTTCTGTTCTGATAAAAAAAAAAAAAATTCCTAACAACAAAAATAAGGTATTTTAAACTACATTACTGGTTCCCTCCTGACAAGCCAGCATTTAGGTTTTGAAACTGCAGGCTTGACCTGGCACTTTAACAGCAGATGAACATAACTGATTGTTACACAATTTGTTTCCTGCTTTCCAAGCAGGCTAGATGAAAGTTAAATATTATATGAAAGAACAAAAAGCTCTCTTGGACTGGATAACTAAAGACAAATCCATTTCCATAAACTATATTGAACGTGTTTCACTTTTACTTATTAAACTTTCTTTAGTAACAGTTTCACTCCTTCCATCTTTGTAAGTAGATTTGCAACTATATTTTGAACAATAATAATGCTGCATTTAAATTGTGCATGTAACAGTATGCTCTGAGATGCACAATTCCAAATTAAACAGCATGCAAATACATAGGTTTAACTTACAGCGAGACTGCCAGTAAGAAGTATCATACTGGCTTCAATGCTACCATTCTCATAATTATAAATACATCAAAAATAAACCATACTCACTGCAGCAGCTATTTTGCAGCAAGTCAGGTTTTTTTTTTTTATTCTAATCACTTCACACTGGTTTAGATAAATTATAGAGTCAAGATTGTTCAGCAAACCATTTGAACATGAAGCATTTGGAGATAAGGATACCTGAAAAGTTTTCTTAAAATAATTTATGTTCATTATATGCAAGTATTCTCAGTATCTCAGTTTAGGCTTAAGACAAGTAAACAAGGTATCCATTCTAATGTTCCTGAAGCAGCTATCTGACACTGTATTCTCAAACGTGAGTAATGTTGTACTTATTGGTTACTATCACACTACCCTCAATAATATCCTTTTATTTAAAAGTTTGGTTCACTACAGCATTATCTCAATACTAAAACAGAAATAAAACAATTCTTTTGATTTAAAACACTGCAGCTGCATCAAAAGCTGCAGCGATAACCCAGTCTAAACTCTCTACTGATATCTTAGCATATCTGTATAAGAGCTTTAACTGCTTCTACTAACCACAGTTGTCTTCCTCTCTCCATACATCCCATTCCAATAATTCGAAGCTTTTGGTCTTACTAGATCAATATAGCTATGTTTTGTTCTGGAAAGAAGATTAAGTATAGTATTTGTAATGTTTTAATACCAGTATTTTTAATGTTTTCAAAAACCAGCTATTATATTTCAGATCAAGTTCTCAATGCTCTTCAAATCTAGTAAAAAGTCAGTAGTACAAAAGAATTCCAGGTGCACTTTTTGGACTCTTAAGAACAAAGTTTATTCCTTCAAAAAAAAATCTTACGCTAGTATACATGTTCTTTCTTCCATCAGTCTCAAGTAAAATGCTCTACTCCATGTCCTACAATATGCTTTCAGGACAATGCAGCACAGTTAAAGGCGTTTCTTCCCCATCTTTCTCTTTGAGACTTGAGAATAATGCTTTTTAAGAACCATTTTAAAGAAATTTTACTTCCTGTAGCATCATAATCTCACATTTAAGGTATACAATCTAAGCGTACTCATTGTTTATTTAAACATTAGTTGCAACTGGGATAATTACTGAGCTAGCTGCAGGTGGTGTATTATAACATACAATCATGCCCACATCAGCAGAATGCAAGATATTAACAATTTACAGCTTAGTTCAATAGCTAAGAATAACCAGGAACAGTTACAGATGACTTAACTAAGCATGCAAGCTTATGTAGTACTTATATCAAATACACAGTATATACTTCTGTGTATACCGTACATATTTCTCTTTCTGTCACTGCAGCATTTTCACTCACATAAGCGTAAAAAGTTAGTCTTTGACATCACAGGCTTAGCAAAGCTTCATTTAATAAGAGATTGCATGTTTATATTAATTTATAAAGATTATACTTATATTCCTCTACTAAAAAAGTTTGTTGGTCACTTCCAGATTATGTAAGTGTAGGCAAGCATCATAATTACTTCAGGCTTAATGTGTTCTGACATTTATAAGACAAGGTGATTCTTTTTTTTTTTTTTAAAGATGGCAAGGGAAAGGCAGAAGACAAGATGAACAGGCCAGACTAGTGAAACCAGACCATCATTACCACGAGGCTGTTACTCAGTAGTATCTAAGAAATGATTTGGCTGTTCATTGAATTTTAAGGGAGAAGCCCACACACTTATTTCAACTGGCATCTTCACCTTCAAGAATTGCTGAGGCATGGAGACAAGTTGAGGTCAGTTAGGGAAAGGCAAGTGTAGCATAACTAATGGTTTATTAAATTCTGAGATCGTGCTTTTGATAATTGGAAAAAAAATCCTACATTTCCAGGAAAAAAGATCTAGATATGATGCTACAGTTCGCTACATCAAGAACTAGTTACATTAAGTTTAAGGTATTCAAAATGTATTTTTATGAAGAACTTCAACACTGTTCAAACATATACAATTTTTCCCTGTTGATACTGAGAACTTTCGACTGTCCAGGTGATGAAAAGACCGAGTAGAAATTCATTAAAAGATTTAGTAACAAACTTCCAAAATGTTAATTGAATTTGCAGTACTTAGTGTATCTAACAGTAGCCTGAATTCACCAGAAAGTGGTAAAACCTTTACCTCCATTAGAAAAAGCATTCATTCTCTGCCTGCTCCCAGTTAAAACATGTAAGACACAAAGTAGACTTAGAATTCATAAACGTCTCATGTAATCATTAATTAATGCACCTGCTACATTTAACAAACGTAATAAATGTTTCTGAAGTGAACCCTGTAGTATGGGTTGCATCTTGTTTAATGACATTTTCTCTGCTGTGATTCCAAATCGATCAATTTTTTTGTTAAGAACAACTAAAATTAGGAGCTTATGTTCCCTTTAAAAGGGAGATCCAGGTGCCTCTAAAGGATGATTCAAGGTTTTTAAAAAGGACAGTGAGAAAAATAATTCATATAATTCTTCATTTTATGCATTCATGACTGATCCTTTTAAAATAAAATTACTTCTGAAAAATGTGCATAGAATGTAAGGTAAACATATGCTGAATACATTATTAGACTAATTTGAAAAGGAAAGGTTTTAGCCTCACTGTAGAACTATGTTCAGTGATTGAAAGTTATTTACAGTTAAACTGTGATACTGCTTACAAATAAGAACAGACAAAAGGTGAAATCCAAACAAACAAGCCGTTAAAGCTTTACCACCTGTAGAGTTCATAACGATTGAATTTTACCTTTTATTTCCAATAAGCATTATGACCATGTTGGAATTGGAATGCTGACGAGCATCTTCTAACCAAGTTGTCAAGTGATTGAAAGTGTCTCTCCTAAGTATGGAGAAGAATGAAAATTATGAGCAGTATTTCAAGAAATCATTTCCCTTAATGCTATTGCTTTTACCTTCCTTAGAAGTACATTGGCTTATTAATAATCTTTTGCCCTTAAACTCATACTAAGCCTTGATTATGTTTTGATTTTATGCCATGACTTATTAACAGTTATAAAGGATTAAATTCCTGACCCATTAAAATTGGTCAGTCAGATTCCACAGACTTTAGAAGAACCAGATTTCCTTCCAAGTTCATGTAACAGAGCAGACAGCTTTCTACAAAGAACTACTTACTTGCTAGTTGTGATACTGAAAATCAAGCAGAAATAGATTTTTAACTGAGTATATGCACTGATATTTGTTCACACTTGACAAAACTTCAGAGAAGATAATCAACAATAAAGGAATATAATAAGAAGTATTACTTTCTTACAGGCTGCTAATCACTGTTTTCAATGCAATTCAAAGCTACTTATATGGTCATTTATACTCCAGTTTTCCCTTCTGCCTCCTGGAACTTACTGAACAAAATTTATAGAGGGATGGACTCACAAATAAAAGCAAGGAAAGCTGAAGTTTAGTCACTTTCTCTACTTGAGTAACTTTTATTAGTACATATATGCTCCAGGGGTAAGAGTTAGTAATCCCTTTGTTGGAGGGAAAACAGGCAAACAAAGATTTAGTAAATAACCGAAAGCACGGCCCCTACAAAGAGTAAAGAAGATTCTTACAGCCATAAAAATCTGTATTTTTACACGCAAATAAAATCCAATGAACAAGAATTTAAAAGTAGGAAGTGCAAAACATACTCAATCATTCAAATACTACCAATAATAATGTGTTCACATGGTAATATTTGTTCTACTGTAGGCAATAAACAGTTTATATTCATTTTCTGTGAGTTTATGAACTGAATAATTAATTCAGCAGCAGTCTTTCCAAATAAATAAGGTATAAGAGGATAGCATTCTACAGATTTTACTGTGTACTGGAAACCTTAAACACAGCATGTGATTAGTATTTTACAAGTGTAGAAATATGCATTAAGAATGAAAGTTTAATTTGCTGCAAGCCAGTTTAGAAAAAGTAAGTTCCTTTTTGGCACCTATTTTTAAAAACAAGTTGGGGAGGGGAAGGAAAAACATCTAAGAAATCTCTTACTAAAGTTTGTTGCTTAATCTAGCAACAAGACTGAGATCCACAAACATGGGAAATTACACACCCTAAATGGAATTCAGTGCCTGGACATTTTCTTAAACCAGTAGTCATGATTATAACCTTTAAAAAAAAAAAATCCCACAGTTTTGCAGATAACACGATACACAGTGATTTTATTCAAGACAGCAGGAAAACCATAGTCACTTCTGTACACCTGCTAAAGAAATCACAGTGGAAGAACACAGCAATGGGAGAAGTTTTCCAGTATTTTTTTTAAACTGGACTTTGATGTTATACTATTTCTCTCTTTTGCAGAACGGTACTTTAGTAAAAGTTTGTGAATGATTAAACAGAAATTACACTTCATGCTAATAAAAAACACCAGAAAGGAATTAATGAGATATTTTAAGGTCTTTTCTCAATTAAGGTAATGGACATTCATGGTCAAATAGTTTATGAAAATATTTTGTTACATTCTTCCCGAGTTTACATATACTTAGTCAGTATACAGAGAAAATTAAAGAGTGCACAATTAACCTGGATTATATCTTAACTTGGAGCACTTAAGGTAGGCATTACAACATTAAATTGACAAATACCTATACAAAAAGCCATGCTAATTTAGACATCATAATATGCCATAGTTCAATTCTACAAAGACATATAATTTTAATCCAGTTATACTTCCCTCTATATTCTCACCTTGTAATGTCATACACTAGTAAAGCCCCTGCTGCCCCTCTGTAGTAAGACCTTGTGATGGAACGGAAGGACTCCTGCCCTGCCTGTAGAAGACAAAGTTTCATTATTTCATGTCAAAGGTTTTTTTTTTCTTTTTTTTTTTTTAAAGGGGTGTTTTTTGGTGCTGAAAACTACAAGGTTATTTCAGAGAGTATTTTTGCAGGCAGGATTGTGGGGGACAAATCAGAGAGGAACTGAGGACAAAAAATCTTTAAAGTTGGCAAAGGAAGGCACATAAGGAGAAGATATATAAAGCAGCACTGTGCTGTAGTTGATTTTTATATATATATTTATATATATATGTATGTATATATTTATCTCTCTATCTCTCTCTCTCTATATCTATCTCGGAACAAGACCCCTAAACCTTTTTTGGCAATCCCTGACAACCCAATTTACTGAATGGCTTCACAATACATGAATCATTATTAGAGCACAGAATGGACTCCTAGCAACTAAGCTCTGAAGACAAATTTGAAAGGAAGCAAATAACCCAGAGCTTCACATTTGAATTCAATAACCCGCTCCCTGGGGCAGCTGTTGACACTAGAATAAATAAAGCCCATTGTAAATAAATGATGAATGACATCTTTACGCCCACCATCTGCTGGTGTAAAGGTTGTTGGAAGGCCAAGGATGCAGATTTTATCCGTTATATCATAAACGGCAGCCAGCTTTCAACAGTCTTCAGATGGAATTCTTTCAGTAATCATTTTATTATAAAAAAACAGAAAATGGTTCTGAATTCAATTGTACACAATTCTGCTCCACAGTTAATCAGTTTCCTCTGTACTTGATAAATAATGCTTGTCAAACTGCTACAGGATGCAAAAGTCATCTTCATAACCACTGGTGAAAAACTTCAGAGAACCTACGTAAATTAGACAGCTCTTACAGAAGAGTATTCTGCAGAAAACTCAACACTTAAACGAACGTGCCTCCATTTATATTTTAACCATGTTCAGCTATTCTGCAGTTCCGTTCTGAACTCTCTTTACTCAGTTCAAGATACACCCTATCAACATGCAATAGTCGAACTACAACCATTTCTGCATTTTCAGACTGCAATTAAGAACATAGTTTCTGTAAGTAAAAACAGCTAAATGGACAGAGGTATAGCCCTCTTCCCTCCTGCCTAGAAGGGCATAGCTCTGAAAAATAACTATTCATAGTTGTAGACCCTGAGCTCCCTATGCTCATCTTCTCCTGAAGTGGTAGCACCTGACAGTTGTTAGAACAAAAGTAATATTTACTTCTAATATTTATTAATAATAGGAACTTAAACTTAATTCAAAGATGCCACAGTATATGACTGAGAAAGAGTAAAATGAATATGTAAGATAGTTATCCACAAACCTATAAAATTACCCTGTTTTAAAACCGAAAAACAAGAATGAAATATTTATTAAATACAAGTTATGCTTCAGCTAAACCAACAGAATTAGAGTACAGAGAACTCCCAGTTACTGTACTTTTCATACTAAAAAAATTTTATTGAATCACGGGGAACTTGATCTAGGTTCTGCTATTATTGAAAAAGCTTAGTGGCACAAAGCATTTTGACACGCTCAGTTTTCAGAAAGCACCCTTGTCTTCCAGAACAAGCGGTTACTTACACTAAAGAGAACACTTTATATCTTAGTCACTCCAGTGGAAAAAGTCACAAGAGATAGAAAATATCTTGAATAGTTTCTCAACACAATTAGAATACGCTAGCATATGCACTTGGCCAAGAACCCAACTACTTTACATAAAACTAAAGTAACAGAATACAGACAATCAGCTAGATAGCATCAAAGAATAGTAAAAGCAAGTGTTTAACTCGGTACTCTATCCAGAAGCTTCATAAAGGTCTACAGTTTCTCTTGGGGTGGCAACTAGTCCAAGCACATGATAAAATCCGTAAAATATTTTCTTCCTAATTAGAAAATATATCAGTTACTGTTACCAGACTATTCAATGTATCCACTGAAATCACACATGAAGTGCGGACTCCAGCTATCACATTAAGATTGCCTGTTTCACATTCGTAAGTTCCACCATGACACAAAGTTGCTCGTCTCCAAAAGTAAATTAATCGTAGTGAAACAAAATTGTCAGAGGCCCCACCACTCTTACAGAACTGTAAGAATTGTGAGTTCTTATAGGAATCACTTCTTCTTAGAAGTTCAGTACCCAAACCCTGAAAATACGAGATTCAGTACCCAAACCCTGAAAATACGAGATTCAGTACCCAAACCCTGAAAATACGAGATTCAGTACCCAAACCCTGAAAATACGAGATTCAGTACCCAAACCCTGAAAATACTAGAACAATTTTAATTGTGTCTTATTTCCCCATGATGAAATTTCTTAAATGCCCTTGCTTCCCGAGAGAGAGACAGGAAAAAGAGTGGAAAACGCCTCCCTTTCTTTCCTACAGAAGATACAACTTTCCATATGGCAATAATAAACATATACTGATGCACAACATAAACTGAAGCCCTTTTCATTCTAAAGAAAAGGAAACGGAGTTTCTGTAAAGCTACTCCATTATATTTGTATTTTTCTCTCTCTCTCTATATATAAAATATTATATACACACACATACACACACAAAATGGTTATTTTATATTATATATAAAATAATAAGAAATGTGTTAAATTTATACCATTTACTATCTACTTTACCAGGTTAGTGTGAACCTAAACAAGAGATCTGTAAGGTCAAGACAGATGCCTTAGGCGTGTAAGAGAGACTCTACACTTTTTTTCCTTTGAAGATCATTATTACTTTAAGCATTTTTCATCTGACATGCAATTTGCTCTTTTTCCTTCCACCTGTATTCCAAGGGGCACAAAGAAAGAACAAAAAAGTGTAAGCTATCAATAAAAAAAAAAGTTTTTGGGGTTGTTTTTGGGTAAAGTGTGTTATAATTATACTTCATCAGTTTTGTTCAGTGGGATCAACTCAAATTTTGCTACTTGCCACAAGGGGCAGCAGACAGAACTAGCAGTGTGGAAGCACAATATAAAAGCAGAAACAGGTCTGATACAGCAGAACAGCCCTTTCCAGAATAAGTGGAAATAAAAGTGCTCTTACCATCTTCTCTGTGTTCCCCCAAAATTCAGTATTTTGGGTTTTTTTTTCATATTAAAGCTTTTTTGATGCAGTATTTTAATTTTTCAGCCACTTTTCCCAGAGACTTGAAGGGAGGTAGCGGAGAGGGAAGGTGGAGGCAGGAGTCACCATACGAATGTTAACAGGGTATTTCTCAAGGCCATATTACATCTACTACAGACAACACAAGCTTTTCCTTCCCGGACACATCAGGGCATAGCCGCTTTCAGTATTATAACACAATACACTATAGAAGAAGTGGGGAGAGGAAAGATAACCTTGACAACAGATAGAAGAGGACAACTATTTCACACGTGTAAACTCTAGCTCAGTCAAGGTAGCCTACAGGAACCAGGACATACACACGGAACATGCCTAAACAAGCATCCTCTCTCGTCAGAGAAAAGGGTGCTAGCTCAGAAAGAAGATGAAGACAGTAAGGTAGGCATCTGACAAGCCAGTGATGTTTTAAGTGCTAAATAACGCTTCCTTTTTGTCGGCTCCTGGACAACCAGATTTTAGAATTCACGTTTAGCAGCTTTTAGAACTCACACCACAGTTTAACAAAGACAAATTTTCTGAAATAAGAGACCTACCTAATCATGGGTGTGGAAGTTACACGTCTTCAAAACAGAACAAAAAAATCTCATCCCTGCTTGAATCATTGAACTTGTGTGGACTTACGCTCCCCGTGCACTACTCTAAATACACCTCAGTACATAGACCAAATACAATTTCAAAATAACAATGCAAGCAGAACATTCGGCTTCGCAATCTTCATGGGTCAGAGATCCACAGAGAGTTAGGGCCTGCACTAAGTTTTCAGGAACATTTAAGCCATGTAACTGTGTTACAATTGACAACACATTTGTAGCACATCAAGAAGTTCAAGTGTTAAGGAACTTTTAGGCTTAGGAGAAATTCACAACTCTTCAGGGTGCAAACGTGCATACCTCTGTGAGCCTTATTTTGATGTTATACATGACGTAAGTGATGTTGTGAACTTTTTGTTAGCTTCCTGCAAACTCTCACCTTTCCTACTGTAAATCTTAGTAGCATTGGTAGGTGCGTATATTAGTCACACAGTTTTCAAGTCTTTGCTATCAAAAAGGGTTCCTTGCAAGATCCTTAACTGTATGTTCTTTGAATCTATAAATCGAAAAAATAAAAATAAAAAGAAGAGCTATGATCTAGTACAAAAAAGTAGTTAGATAAATATCTAATCAAAACCAGCACACCTCTAGAAAACTAATTTTACTGAATCCTCCATTCATACTGCTAAAGTATTCGGGAAAGTTTCTTCAAGAAATACATTATTTGGGTACGTCATAGCATATTTTCTATGTCCCACCTGACTAATATTTTTTATTAGGAGAAAACTTTATAGCACACATCCACTTGAAAAATTAAAATTTACAAGTCTCACAGCTAGTAACTCTAGACTCCTTTGCTTTTGGAAGGAGCTACTTTGTATGATATGTTCAAATGCACTGACAGAATGCTTCATTCATATTTGGAATTATTACTCGTTTAAACTAGTTTACACTTTCCTAAGCTGCACAGACAGTTAAAAGACATCTAAGAAACAACCAGTTCACACAACAAGCATCAGACTACTGATGACAACTGCCAGCTGGGAACCACTCCACAAAGTTGATCCCTGGAACAAAATGTTCCAGATGGAGAGAAGAGCGATACATACCCATGAATACAGTTTCGAAAGTTAAAAATACGTTTGAGTACTTTAATCACATGACAACTTGTTTATATAAATACATTAATCTTTCATGTAGTCATGTTTCTACTCTGCAACAAAAAAGAATTTTACGGAGATTTACTAACAAGTAATTCAAGGCATATTCACAAAAATAAGATCTATTCTACAAACCTGCCACTTTCTAGCAGAGATGTTCCACAACAAGATCCTCCTCTAGACAGGACAGAACTAAAGACACTTCTGAAGATGAATCCATAACAACTTCAGAAAGTGTCAGGATTTATTTTTGGAGAATTCAGCCAAGTAGGATGTTGCTTTGGAATAGCTCTGTTAGCATCCTAGTAAGAGCTGAAATTTCTAGAGGACTAAAGATACTAAAGGGTGCAACTCCTTATACATATCTAAATAGAGATTATTGCCTGTACATATACCTTTCCTTTAGCTGTTGTTGAATGCATCCACATTTTACACATCCACAGCAATTTCCAACACATTACTGAAATAAAAAGTTCCAGCTATCCATTATTAGAAATAATCCCACGAATTAAGTTTATAAATATTTTTGAAACCTAAAGGGGGTTTTAAATAACCCCCTTCACTAAAACTCAGAGCTCCATCAACAAGGAAAGAAAGGATTTGCTCTCCTTCCATCTAAGGCCTTATCCTAAGCAACAGCTTGTTTTATTATTGTGGAAAGCCACAGATGAACTGAAGGGAAACCCATTATCAATAATAAAATAAAACATCAATAATAAATGTATCTGGTTATTGAAATATTGTAAGCACATTATAAACATTTGAGAACACTAAGCTAGATGGTATCTCAAATTACTCTGGCTTCCTATAGTGCTATAACGGATGTGAACAACAACTTAGGAGTAGGCACTAAAGTTCAGATGACAGTCTTATTGCAGTAAGTTCTAATAATGAGTATTAAACGGACAGATTCTCCCCACTTGTGAATCTAGAAATAAGCTTGTGTTGCTATGCAGCAGCAAACACAGCCTGTGAGTTAATGATTAAACTAGTTGCATGAACTAAAATTGATTCTTTGCAAATTCTTGATGTCACTTTACAGCAGTAATGGGTATAAGCCATTGAGCACTGAGCAATCATAACTTTAAGGTTTAGCCACCTTCTTACAGGTACAAAGATAAGAGTACATTTGACCAGAGTCAAATTAGTAACTATTCAGTGGAAGGATTCACCGACTCCACGTGAACATATGCTCTGACTAACAAAGCAAGTAGAATGTGTCACAGGGGAAGCAATTAATACAGAATCATTTATCATCAGTATTGCTAAGATGAATAGTCATGTAATGTACTAAGGGAATTTTATTTGGTTCTACTAAACCCAAAGTGTATGCAAATACCTTAAGAATAGCTGACTTATCCAAAAAGGATTGGTATTTTCAGGAAATCTGAAAGTGATTGGATAAATCACATTGCAGATTTGGGGGGGGCGGGGAGGGAAGACACACACTTTTGTGGGCAAGCTCTCACCTATTAGCAAATGCTATCAGTTCAATTAGACAGCTCACCTGTATGTAAGTCAAGAAACTACTTGAAATTTGCTTATAAAACAACCAAACAAAAAGATACGGTTTCAGCTATGTGCTTAACAGAAACCTTAGAGGCAGGGTGTTGTTTTTTTTTTTTTGTTAGTTTGGGTTTTTTTAAATGTAGGCTCCCTAGGAATAATCTGTTGTTTACAGCTGCTATCTTCTGGCTAAGGTTTTCTCTTCAAGAGGAAAACTAAAATAAGAACTTATTCCTTAATACCCATGGCGTAAACACAATAGCAAGAGCTAAGATGTTATGGAAACATAATAATGAATAAAAAGAAACAAATTTTGATCATACATTTCCATGAAATGAGGAAAAACAAGGTATTACAAATTTACTATCTTTAAATACAGAAAAAAATTCTCAGTCATACCAATATGGTTCATAGAAGATAAATAGTATTACATAGTATCATCACTGATCTCTCTTCCCTCAGCAGTCTGATGCAACTTGAAATTCCTTCGTTCAACTACTGCTATTTTTACCCATCAACAATGGCATGCTAGTAACAGTAAATACAGTAGAGAAGTATCCCCCTCAACCACAAAATGAAGGATATCGACTCAGACTGGTAACAAGTCCTGTATCTCTCTGCAACAATGATGTTTTTCCAAGAAGCAATGATTCTATACTTCTCAGTGTTACACTGTCACAGGACAAACAACCTCCATCTGCACAGCTTGTTTAAATGCACAAAGCTGGACAGCTCCCAGAACTGTCATTTTGTTTCTTACCAACTTCTACAGATCACTGCTGGTTCCCTAAAAAGGAAAGTTATTTTGGCAACTGACACTACCTGAAGTATCACACCCTTCCACAAAACAGGAGTTAAATGCCTCATAGCAGGTGACTATCAATTAACTGAAAGTCATTACAAAGATGATAAAACCACAGGAAAGGAAATAATCTAGAGACTAAAACAGACAAGGTGCATGAACAATTCAGTCCAACGATACTTCCCCTTGATGACCTAAATGGATCAGAAAGGAAAAATGAAAGTCAAGGACTCAAAGACCTAAAAACCTTGACATGTCACAGCCACAGCACACATTAACAGTAAGCTTGCAGAGCTTAGCAATAAGGAGGTCCTGGAGCAGTGTGCAGATGGGAAAGAACAAGAGGGGACACCGTTTGCTGGTGTAGACATTGGAACAGAAGCAGAGCTGAGGGTATAACAGTTGGCACACCTCTCATGCAGTCTTACTTCAGACTGGTTCTCCTAGACTATCATGTCACAGGACAGGACAAGGTACTGAACTACAGTTGTTAACGGACACATGTATTCCTTGAGCGTACCTTCTGGTTTAGTCTCACACAAAAGGAATTCAGTTTGTGTGGTCCCACATGAAAAGCTGTGCTTACTGCTCTTTGATAACTTCTCTAACATAGCCCTGATCCAAAATAAGAGGCTAATTTGGTGTTTGACTGCATATTCCTGAGTTCTGATACAAAAAGAGAGCAAGCAAATAGAAGTCACAGCGATACACCAGTGTTAGCTTCAGCTGCCCCTGTAAACTAACATCCTCCCACAATAAGGCATGCTGCAGCTTCCATAAATTCCCACTATCAATAGATGCATCCTTATTTGAGGCTGCACCGATCTCCTTAAGACAGCATAAACTGATCACCCTACCACAGAAGTATCTGGCCAGAAAATTTTGAATTAAATACTCTTAAGAAAGCAAGTCCTTACTCATTGTTAACCACGAGAAATAAATTTTATTCAGCTCTTCGCTTAGGTCTCTGCTCAAGGTTCTTCTCGTACCTTGATGGATTAAAGGCAGACACGTAAGACTAGCACTAAATCAGAGAAGTGCTGGTGCTGTAAATCAGCAAGCACCAACTGAAAACATAAATGCTTCATGTGTTTTCTTAGCAATCTGTGATTGCAAAATGAACTTTTTCTTAGCAGATAAAAATTGTTAACAACTTACTAAATACAGACACAGCACTAGTAACAGCTAGCAGTCTTTGCTCATAGAAAAAGAAATCCAGGAAACGCTCAACCCAGATACACAACACACACCCATTAACCTTGGTCATTCTTGACATATCTGTGTACCTTAGCATCATAAGCAAAATACATTCTTGAAAATTCCTGATGGTATTTCTTCACTTACTATTGCTTCAAGACTTTTGTACCTAAGGCCAGAATTGAGCTAGCTGAATTCAGATATGCTCACAAACAAGCCAAGGTTGAATTAGACTAGAAATATCCTATGTTTAAAAAAATCAGGCTGTATAGAGCTAAACTTTTAACCACAGTCTATGATATTAAGTCATCTGCTCAAAAACAGTTGAAATCCATTTCCAAGGTGCAGATAACAGCACATGAACAAAATCAGTTTGAAAGACAATGAAAGACAGTGCCTGTATTAGCAGGAACATTAGTAATTTTGTCTGCAGTAAATCTGTCCCAGTTTCAGGGAGCAAGGAACAGAGTAGATTGGTCCTCTTGTGATCATGCTACACACTAGAAGTATGCTCCCGAAGCTTCTGTTCATGCAGAGATTTGCTTGTCTATTGAATTTAGAAGTGATCAGCTACCTTGACAGTCAGCAATCTATAGTTACAATAGGACAAATGCCTAGGGCAGAAAAAGCCTAAAGTAAGCACAGTCTGATCATATTCTTGTATACCTTTTCAAGGAAAACTTCCAAAGCGCTAGATGCCATTTCAAATGATGAACTTGTAAAATAAGCAAGGTACGTTAGCTCTGAAGTTAGCTAAAATATTGCTTTTTAAAAAATTTTAAATATATTCCCTCTATTGATTTGCTATACCAAAAAGCACACAAACATGAAGCTACCGCTGTTTCTCTATCCGTCGTCGGTTTCTAGAGGTATCCTAAAATGTTTTTGGAAAAGGAACCAGGAAATCCTGCCTTAGGGAACAGTTAAGCACCTTAGAAAGACAAAGCTATGAATATGGGCATTTTAAAGCTGTTGCATAACAAGCGCAGACAATGAAAAGGCACACCTACCATAAGCAATTAACAAGGGAGGGCAAAGCTGACTTCTATAATGTGAAAATGTTCTTAATCTGAACCAGAAAAGTCAAAGCCTTTGCCTTGTTTGCTACGCTTTCAGAAACTTCATGCATTTACCAGTCCCTTTTTGTTTCTCTGAAGTACTTACTACGTTCATGGTTATAGTGAACTTGAGCTCTTCAGTCTTCTTCTGTGAAAAAAGTGAAATGAGCAAAACCTTTTCTTCTACGTCAGCAGTGCAAATATATCTCCTCTAGAGATCTCTTAATTCAGAAGAGATTAAAGCCAGTAGACATATCACAATTTCCCAACAGGAAGTTAAAATAACCAGACGTTGCATAAACGCACAGAAAGAAACTACTTAGAGGAAATATAAATAATCTCAATAATATAGAAAAAATTTTCACAGAAAAAAAACCAGCATGAAATTTAGTCTTAAAAA